TTAAACCAAATATCGGTTACACCTACTTGGGCTGTCAGTCCAGATTTGAAGAGGTCATTATGCGACGATGTCGTCTTGGCCATTCAAGATATACACATGAGTATCTTTTGAATGGTGAGGATCCTCCGTTTTGCATCCCTTGTGATGAAAGAATCACGGTCAAGCATGTCCTGCTTGACTGTATTGATTTTTCCATCACAAGGGATAAATATTTCAGTGTCAAAACAGTTAAGGACCTTTTTAATGATGTTAATTCTCATTTAATATTAAGTTTTTTAAAAGAAATAGAACTTGTCCATAAATTTTGATGTGCTTAATGTATTATTTTATAAATTGGTAGTGCTAATAAATAACTTAGATTGTGAGTGGCTGTACCCTCGAGGGGGGTTGAAGTAGCGTAAAATTATTGTCCCCCTAAGAGGGTATGTAAGTCCCAAACCATTCGTAATATTTTTATGCATACCAGACTTTTAAATCGTAGTATATTTGTTAGTTTTATTCAATGGCTAAACTTGCATATAATCGCCAGTGACTGAAGGGATGGTGTAAATCCTGCCAGGGTCCATGCAGGAAGCAAAGGTACTGTAAGTCCCCATGGTCCCTGGTGTGGTGATCTCCCTTTAGTTACTGACGATCTCTAGCCCATTTTTATATTGTTTTGTTCCTTAATACTTAATTCTTTTAAATGTTCCGCAACTAGTTTTAAAATCTTATCTGTGATATTCTAGTTCTCATACTGTCCTTCGATGACAGATTTTTATAAAGTTTAAATATATGTATATTTCATGTCTAATTTCTCGTCACGATATGGCTGAAATATTGCCGATGTGACGTAAAGCATTACCTCACTCACTCACTCCAAGGTGTGGAACATGATTCAGAAAATTAAAGGTAAGGGTAATAAATCAAGCATACATCATCTTAAAAATGGCGATCAGTTGTTAACTGAAAAATCAGAAATTGCAAACAAACTGGGTGAAACTCTAGCTGAGCATTCTTCCTCGTCTAACTATGTAACTAAATTTCAAAAATATAAAAAGCAGCAGGAAAAGAAACCTATTAATTTTAATTCAGATAACGGGGAGGATTATAATGAAGTCTTTTCCATTCATGAGCTCCATACTGCCCTTGGGCAAGCTCATGATACTGCTTCAGGGGCTGATAACATACATTATCAACTCCTGAAACATTTACCAGAATCATGTTTGGAAACCATACTTTTCATATTTGATGATATATGGACATCTGGAAAATTTCCTTCTTCGTGGCGTGATGCCATTGTTGTTCCTATACCGAAACCTGGACGGGATCATAACGATCCATCAAATTATAGACCAATTTCATTGACTAGCTGCGTTTGCAAAACCATGGAACGCATGGTCAATAATAGATTAACATGGTACCTAGAATCCAATAATTTAATTACAAATATTCAATGTGGATTCCGTAAAAATCGTAGTACCATTGACCATTTAGTTAGATTGGAGTCATTCGTTAAGAATGCCATTGTTAAGAAACAGCATGCAGTGTCTATCTTTCTGATCTGGAAAAAGCATATGACACTACATGGAAGCATGGCATTTTAAAAGATTTACATGACTTTGGATTGCGAGGCCATTTGCCTCAATTTATATCCAAGTTTTTATCTGACAGACAATTTCAAGTCCGAGTGGGTACAACCCTGTCTGATCATTATAATCAGGATCAGGGTGTCCCACAAGGCAGTATTTTGTCTGTCACTTTATTCAGTATAAAAATTAACAGTTTGTCAAAAGTTTTAAATGATTCAGTTGATGGATCACTTTTTGTGGATGGTTTTAATCTATCTTGTCGGGGTAAAAATATGCATACTATTGAAAGGCAATTACAGCTATGTTTAAATAAAATTCATAAATGGTGTTTAGAAAATGGCTTTAAATTCTCCAAATCTAAAACAAACTGTATTCATTTTTGCAGAAAATACAAACCTCACCCAGACCCGGAATTAATTTTAGATGACACGCCTATTAAGGTTGTAAAAGAAGCCAAATGTTTAGGTTTAATTTTTGATCATCATTTAACCTTTTTACCCCACATAAAGTACTTAAAGAATAAATGTCTGAAGGCTATGGACCTATTGAAAGTTGTTTCCAACTCAAAGTGGGGAGGGGATCAGAAAACCCTCCTCCAACTATACAGAGCACTTATCCGTTCTAAACTTGAATACGGCTCCATCATTTATGGTGGGGCTTGTAAAAGTAATCTCAAATTATTAGATACTATACATCATCAAGGCCTGAGACTTTGCCTTGGCGCCTTTAGAACCTCGCCAATTGATAGTTTGTATGTAGAAGCTGACGAGACGTCCCTTAATCACCGCCGCATTAAATTATCTTTACAGTATATTTCTAAATTACGTTCTAATAACTCGAATCCAGCGTTTTTAATCCTCTTTATGGAAATCTCTACAATAATAAATCATCTGTTCTCCCTCCTCTTGGAATAAGACTACGTTCTGATATTTCTGCTGCTAAAATAATTCTTGATAGTATAGCCCCCACTCAGCTTTTGTCTTCTCCACCATGGCAGTTAGTGAAGCCAGTGGTGGATCTGACATTAACGAAACTAAAGAAATCTGAAACCAATCAACTTATCTATCAACAGGAATATAATCAACTCCGAAACAAATATGATACTTACAAATCTATATTTACAGATGGATCCAAGGATGGTGCCGCAGTTGCTAGTGCCACCATCGTTGGATCCAGGACTATATCATCTAGAATTCCTGATAACTGTTCCATTTTTACAGCCGAATCAAAAGCCATATTAACAGCTCTAGAATACATCAGTAATAAATTAAAACATAAACATTTTATTATATTTTCCGATTCTCTTCCCTGTCTTCAAGCAATTGCAAATCAGTCCACTAAACATCCACTTTTAATCGAAATTGTTGAATTATATAATGAACTTGCTACTGGCCAATACGACATCGTTTTCTGTTGGTTACCCAGCCATGTTGGAATTACTGGGAACACAATGGCTGATGCTGCTGCAAAAGCAGCCCTCAACAAATCTGTGACAGCACTTCTTATTCCATACACAGACCATAAGCCAGTGATTGGATCATATATCCGAGATCTGATGCAGAAGAAGTGGGACGCCCAAGTAGGTATCAATAAATTACATGAAATTAAACCAAATATCGGTTACACCTACCTGGGTTGTCAGTCCAGATTTGAAGAGGTCATTTTACGACGATGTCGTATTGGCAACAGTAGATATACTCACGAATATTTGTTGAAAGGTGAAGATCCTCCATTTTGTATCCCTTGTGATGAGATAATCACGGTCAAGCATGTCCTGCTTGACTGTATTGATTTTTCCATCACAAGGGAGAAGTATTTCAAATCATCATCTCTCAAGGATCTTTTTTATAATATTTCTTCTCATTTAGTTATTGGGTTTTTAAAAGAGATCGAATTGTTCAATAATTTTTGATAATGTGTATTGTATAAAAGGAATGACTTTTTAAAATTGGTAAAATGAAATTATATCTGAGTTTGTTACTGGCCGTATCCTCAAAGGGGGTTGACGTAGTGTAAAATTATTGTCCCCCTGAGAGGATATCGTAAGTCCATGTCATTCAAAGAATATTTCTGCCTACTACTCTTTTAAATGTAGAATATTTGTATTTTTACTTGTGGCTAACTTTGCATACAGTCGCCAGTTGCTGAAGGGATGATGTAAATCCTGCTGGGGTCCATGCAGGTTGCAAAGGTACTGTAAGTCCCCCTGGTCCCCAGTATGGTGGTCTACCTTCAGTTGCTGGCGATCTATAGCCTGTTTTTATAATGTAATGTTATGTATAGTGCTATTGATTTTATGATTACATACTAGTTTTAAATTTATTTCTGTGATAAGTCTAGTTATTTTACTGTCCCTCGTTGGCAGGTTTTTATACAAGTTTCAATGTATGTATCATATTTAACTTTTGATAGTCACGATATGGCTGAAATACTGCCGATGTGACTTTAAACTTTACTCACTCACTCACTCACTCACTCTCTTAAACAACGCCGTCTAAACCTATCTTTACAATACATCACTAAATTATATTCTAATCAGTCGAATCCAGCTTTTATATTCAATCCTCTCCACAATAAGAAATCAACACTCACTCCACCCCTCGGAATCAGAATAAAATCTGCAATATCAGCTTCTAATATTAAACTCCAAGATATAGCTCCTACTCAACTTTTCTCATCTCCTCCTTGGCAAATGGTAAAGCCAGAGGTAGACCTTACATTAACAAAACTAAAGAAATCAGATACTAACCAATTAATTTACCGGCACTCGTGAAGAGCAACCTCCTCGTGGTGAGTCCTGGGTAACGCTAATCGCTCTTCCCCCGTGAGGAACCGGGGTAGAATATTTCCACAGCACCCCATTGCTGGTCGTAAGAGGCGACCAAAGTGGGCAGCCCGTTTGCCGTTGGTTGCGTCCCTGTGTCGGCGGAGGACGGGAGTCTGGTGGTTGAGGGCACTGGTTCCAGGAATAGCGTTCCTTTGCCCAATATTCCACTTCGACCCTTACTTCGCCTAGACGGGTGGTAGGATGGGCCCGGTCCTATCAATCGGCTGGTCATGTCGAGCCCTGTGCATGACATTTCATTTGCACATTTTTGGAATGTTTGTCATGAGCTATATTTCATGCTTTTTAACTTGATCAATTAAAATTCTCCTGTTATTTGAGAAACAGAACAGTGCCGTACATTACACTCATACATGTGTAGACGTTTGGAATGTATTTCAACTATTACTGAAACATTTCTATATTTGCCTAGAGTCCCAATGCCCAGAAGGCGGTGGAACATATTTTATGATGTTTCTGCTTGAGTATATCCTCTTGGTATCCTTGGTGTCGCCTGTCGGAGGCCCACAGGCATATGGCATTGTCCTTGTTGACACTCCATGGTGGGTGGGGACCCAGGAGGATGAAACACAATTACAACCAACATGGAACCCCCAATGAAAAAACGTTCTCATGAATCTCATGATTGTTTTGTTACTGAGGATGATAGTCCGCGGATGCCTCCGGTTACTTTCGAAAACTGGCCAAGATTCTTGGTTATTTCTTCTTTGGATGACACTCCTCTGAAGCTCAATCCATTTGCAGTTGAAAAGGCTATACAAGGCATAGCTGGTGATGTGGAAGATGCAAAACGATTACGCAGTGGATGCTTGCTGATCAAATGTAGACGACAAAAGCAAGCTGTAAGTCTTCTTTCCATTAAGACCCTTGCAAATGTTCCTGTTGTTGTTTCCCCACACAGGTCCCTGAATAGCAGTAAGGGAATTGTGCGAGACAGAGGCCGATTCCTTGCTGACATGAATGAGGATGACATTTTAGTTGAACTACAAAGCCAAAATGTAATTGCTGTGAAACGCTTTTCTTCTAAGAGAAATTGTGAGGTTACTAAGACCAACACTTACTTGTTTACTTTTGGCCTTCCAAAAATTCCAGAATCAATTAGAGCAGGTTATTGTAGCATCAAAGTGGATATGTACATCCCTAATCCACTGAGATGCTACAAGTGTCAACATTATGGCCATGGATCTAGAACATGTCATGAGCAGGCTGCTTGCCATCGATGTGGTGGCAACTGTCCAGACAGTACCCAGTGTAACAAGGATCCGTCCTGTGTGAACTGTGGTGATAGTCATGCTTCATCATCTAAAGACTGTACTAGATTCAAACGTGAATCCAAAATTGTTAAAATAAAACATGAACGGAACATCTCATTCCAAGATGCAAAGAAGATTGTTCAGGATGAAGAAAAGTCCTCACTTATTTCCTTCTCTGCAGCTGCTTCTCGGACAAATTCACAACCTCCTCCACAACGTGTTTTACAGCCTGTTTCATGCATAGCAGTTGCATGTCAGACAGACTATACCTGGACTAGAACAGAATCTCCAGAGGTTATTACTCTATCTGCGGACTCTTCAACTGTTCTAGAAACTGCCAGTTCCCAAACAACTTCCCAGGGAAAATCATCTCAGTCACATCCTAAAACGCATTCTGAAACATATGTAAAGCAAATCGCTAAAAACAAACCGAGAACAGAATCATCCAAGAAACATCAGAGTGGCAGACCCTCAAAAGGATCAGTGAATCAGATCCAGTTGTTCAACAAATTTGGATCCCTTGAGGATATGGATGTGTCGGACATCAGCCACCAGAGGACACACAGCTTGTCGCCCTCTGAGCAAGGCCGGGGTAGATCCCCAATTAAGATTCCGAAGAGGTAATGTCTTCCCATATTATACAATGGAACTGTAGAGGTTTCCGAAACAACTTTAATGATTTACAACTTTTAACTCAGGATTACAGTCCATCAGCATTATGTTTGCAAGAAACATACCTAAAATCTACAGACAAGTTTGATTTAAGACATTATGATTCCTACCATTGCTTTTCTCCTCCTGGTGAGAAGGCTACTGGAGGATCTTCTATTTTGGTGCGTCGAAACACCATTCATAGCGATGTTCCACTGAATACCCCTCTTCAGGCAGTTGCGGTACGTGTTACGCTGCACATTGTGTTCACTTTGTGTTCACTTTATATTCCGCCATCATCTTCTCTACGTCAATCAGATTTACAGGCCCTCTATGACCAACTCCCTCAACCCTGCATTATCATGGGAGATTTCAATGGCCACAACCCACTTTAGGGAAGTAATAACACCAATACAAAAGGTAAGATCCTCGAGGATTTCCTTTCAAATAATGATTTATGTCTTTTTAATGATGGCTCTAACACATATTTACATCCTGCGACTGGCTCCTACTCCTCTCTGGATTTATCTGTTGCAGATGCCAATCTGTTTAATGAATTTGAATGGTCAGTCCACAATGACCTTTGCGGAAGTGACCATTTTCCGACTGTAATTTCAACTATAAATCCAATTGATGCTCCACCATCATCGAGGTGGAATTTTACAAAGGCCGATTGGTCTTTATTTCATACATTATGCACTGAAAGATTACAGACTGAATTCTTTCTAAATGATGATGATCCCATTGAAGTGTTTTCTGAGGAATTAAATATAATTGCTGATGAATGTATCCCGAAGTCCTCTACGGTTCCTCATATCCGTAAACCATGGTTTACCACGGACTGCAAACAAGCTGGAAAGGCGAGGAAGAAGGCAGAAAAATATTTTCGTCGTCTTCCAACTGTCCATAACTTAAATCAATTTAAAATTTCGAATGCCAAGGCTCGTCGCACAATTAAACAAAATAAACGACAGTCATGGCAAACATATGTTTCTAAGATTAATTCACGAACGCCTATTTCAAAGGTTTGGAATATGGTTCAGAAAATTAAAGGAAAAGGGTCCAAATCCACTGTTCGCCATCTCAAGGAGGGTGACACTCTTCTAACAGATAAATCTGCTATTGCTAATAAATTAGGTGAAACATTAGCTCAACATTCCTCATTATCTAATTATGTACCTAACTTTCAGTAATATAAGGAACAACAAGAAAAAAAGAAACTTAATTTTCACTCAGATAACGGTGAGGATTATAATGAAGTGTTTTCCATTCATGAGCTCCATACTGCCCTTGGGCAAGCTCACGATACTGCTTCGGGGCCTGATAATATTCATTATCAGCTCCTAAAACATTTACCTGAATCGTGTTTAGAAACAATGCTAAATATCTTTGACAATATTTGGACTTCTGGAAATTTTCCATCATCATGGCGAAATGCTACTGTCATTCCTATACCTAAGCCTGGTCGTAATCATACCGATCCCTCGAATTATAGACCAATATCCCTCACTAGCTGTGTTTGTAAGACTATGGAACGTATGATAAATAATCGTTTAGTTTGGTACTTGGAAACCAACAATCTCATTACTGACATTCAATGTGGTTTCCGCAAAAATCGTAGTACCGTCGATCATTTAGTACGTTTAGAATCTTTTATTAAAAACTCCATAATAAATAAACAACATGCTGTATCAATATTTTTCGATCTCGAAAAAGCATATGATACCACATGGAAGTATGGTATTTTAAAAGATTTACATGATTTTGGTTTAAGGGGCCGTTTGCCTCTATTTATTTCTCAGTTTTTAAAAAATAGACAATTTCAAGTTCGTGTGGGTTCAACCCTGTCTGACCATTACAATCAGGATCAGGGTGTCCCACAAGGCAGTAGGCACTCGTGAAGAGCAACCTCCTCGTGGTGAGTGCTGGGTAACGCTAATCGCTCTTCCCCCGTGTGGAACCGGGGCAGAATATTTCCACAGCCTCCCATTGCTGGTCGTATGAGGCGACTAAAATGGGCAACCTGTTTGCCGTGGGTTGCGTCCCTGTGTCGGCGGAGGACGGGAGTCTGGTAGTTGAGGGCACTGGTTCCTGGAACTGTGTTCCTTTGCCCAACACACTACTTCGACCCTTACTTCGCCTAGACGGGTGGTAAGATGGGCCCGGTCTTATCAATCGGCTGGTCATGCCAGGCCCTGTGCGTAATATTGTATATGCACTCCTGTGTTGTATTATAATGTATATTTTGGACTTGGCCAATCATACTTTGTATGAATTACCAATTTTTGATGGAATAAATTGCCTAGAGTCTTACGCCAGAAGGCGGTGGCTCATGGGCCAATCTGGTGATGTTGACCTCTGTATTCTGTATGTCTCCAGTTTCTTGTCATGGACTGAACCTTCCTGGCACTACATCTGGTAGATAAATATAGCTATTCAAGTCATATTTGCTGGAGTATAGCATCCCTGTATCCCTGGTGTTTGCATCCTGGATATCCAGTGCAATATAACACTGTCCTTGTTGACACTCGATGGCGGGTGGGGAACAGGGGTGCTGAATCATATTCTTTCATCATGGCTCAACAACAATCTGGTTCATCTCGCAATGAAAAAAAGAGACGATTAGAAGACATTGATATTTCGTCTGGAAGTATTTCTCAAAATATTGATACCTGGGCTAGGTTCCTGGTTATTGAGGCTGCTGATAACCTGCCTATCAAATTAAATCCTTTTGCCATTTCTAAGGCTGTGTCCGGTATTTGTGGTGAGGTCAAGAACGTCACCCGTCTCCGTAGTGGTTCGCTTCTGGTGGAGTGTGCGCGGAGACAGCAATCTCTCAATCTGTTGTCTATATCTACATTTGCCAATATTGAGGTTGCTGTGTCTGTGCACAGAACTTTAAACTCTTGTCGAGGCATTGTTCGTGACAGGGCTCGTTGTCTGTCCGACATGTCTGAGGATGAAATTGCTACTGAATTGGAAGACCAAGCTGTAACCGCTGTAAAACGTTTCACGATTAAGAAAGACGGTGTCATCACGAACACCAATACCTATCTCATGACGTTTGCCCAAACTTCCCTTCCACAGTCAATAAAAGCAGGTTATATGAACATTGGAGTGGATGTGTATGTCCCCAATCCGCTCCGATGCTACAAGTGCCAACATTTCGGTCATGGTTCAAAATCCTGTCATAACTCTGTGGTATGTCATCGTTGTGGTGACAGCCATGAGAGCATTGACTGTAATCATGATCTGAAGTGTGCAAATTGTTCAGGCCCACATGTTGCTTCATCAAAATCTTGCCCTGTGTGGCAAATGGAATCCAAAATAATGAAAATCAAATGTGAAAAAAACATATCCTATCTGGATGCCAAAAAACTATTCAAAATTCAGACCACTACCCCCTCAACTATGTCCTACTCCGCTGCAGTCTCCCGCTCTGTTACAACATCTACTATTTGGTGTCAGACTGACTTGACATGGGTCACGTCAGATCAACCAGTTGATACTATTCCAATCACTCAGCATATTCCTACCATCAGTGTATCCAGTTCAGGATCTCAGACTGAGATTCAGTCTGAGAAACCTTCACACACGTCAGTCAAACAACCAGTCGTTGTTCATTTGTCGACTAAAGAAAAAAAGAAATTGAAGAAAAAACAACTGCCAATCGTCCCTTCACCTTCAGAGGTTCCTTTACAGAACTCCTTTGGGCCTCTGGACATGGAGGTTACTCTGTCCTCACAGGACAGGCGGGGGAGTAGTTCCTCCTCACATTCACGCGAGCGATCTCCAATTGAGCCACCATGACTCAATTGTCTAATATAATGCAATGGAATTGCAGAGGACTTAGGCATAATTTTCATGAACTACAGTTATTAACAAGTGATTTAAATCCATCAGCAATTTGTTTACAAGAGACGTACCTTAAAAATACAGATAAGTTTGATTTAAAGCAATATAGTTCATATCATTCCTTCTCTCCTCCAGGAGATAAAGCTACTGGAGGTGCTTCTATTTTAGTGCGGCGGGGCGTTGTTCACAGTCCTGTTCCGCTTGACTCGACTCTGCAAGCAGTTGCAGTTAGACTAACACTGCATATTGCCTTCACACTTTGCTCCTTATACATTCCTCCTTCTTCAAATCTTCAGCGAAATGATCTACAAAAACTGTACGACCAACTCCCAAAGCCCTGTGTCATCATGGGTGATCTAAATGGGCATAATCCTCTATGGGGAAGTTCAACCATTAATCAAAAGGGAAAAGTAATCGAGGATTTTGTTTCCGATAACGATCTTTGCATTTTTAATGATGACTCCGACACTTACTTGCACCCTGCTACTGGTACCTATTCATCTTTAGATCTGTCTTTGACGGATTCAGTTTTGTTGAATGAATTCTCATGGTCTGTCCATGATGACCTATGTGGGAGTGACCATTTCCCCACGGTGCTTAAACCAATTAATCCCGCTGATGATCCACCTTCACCTCGATGGAATTTTGTGAAGGCTGATTGGCTTTTATTTCAATCTTTATGCAAAGATAAATTACTACCTACGTCTTTTCAAAATGTTACTGACCCGATTCAGTTGTTCTCAGATCTACTGAATGAAATTGCTGATGAATCAATACCTAAGTCCTCGATCAACCCACGTGTTCGTAAACCGTGGTTTGATGACACTTGCAAACAAGCTAGGAAATGTCGTAAGAAGGCGGAGAAGTACTTCCGTAAACATCCCACTGTCCATAATTTAAATATTGTAAAAATTTCAAATGCCAAGGCAAGACGTCTATTTAAGCAAAATAAACGTCAATCCTGGCGGACCTATGTCTCCAAAATTAACTCTCGTACCCCTATGTCCAAGGTATGGAATATGATTAAAAAGATCAAAGGCAAGGGATCAAATTCTACAGTTAACCATCTGAAGGATGGCGATACTTTGTTAACTGATAAATCTGCCATTGCCAATAGC